TAAATTAAATTATCTTTATAAACATTTTCGGATGGAGGCTAAGTTTTCCAGAAGATGCAGAAACTTTTCTCGTCTTCGCCTTCTGCTCCTCCGCTTGGCGTGAAATTTGAGTCTACCCTTTTGCTGGACATGAAAAAGAAGCTTCCTTATGCATATTTGGCACCCCATCCTACTTATTAGTAACTTATAAGTTTTAATCAAAATTAATTATTAATTTTAACCAAATATTCATAAATATAACATATTTATTATCCCCATATTTTGTAGAACCCAATAATATCCCTCTTTGTAAATTAATAATACATTATCGAACCAAGGATGGTTTGAAGCACAAATCAAGGGCAAATTCGACTCAACTTTCAAAAGTGATCCTTAACTTTTCATTACAATTATACAATTAATCTTCTAAATCAGAAACAATACAAAATCTATTTTAAATTGTCAGGTGATCCTTAAATGTCTAACCTTAAAAAGATTAACACACTATTTGATCTACATTCTTACAAAAACTCATTTTTTTTCAACTTCTTCAATAAAATAATATTACACGCAAATTCAAAAATTTTCATTATTTTTTAACCTCATGTTTTCAATCAAATCACTATTTAAAATGCATTCTCCACTCTATAATGTGCATCAAACATGATCTAAATTTTGGTTTATAATGGGGATAATGTCCAAAAATTTTGAATGGACATGTGAAAATCTAATGAAATTTTGAAGGATTACCGTTCTTGGATATCGATTACGTCACTATAATGAAAATTGAGCATTTTTTTTTAAATGTTGGAGATCACTTACTATCTATTCAACAACGATATCATTAATCTTTTCGAGTAAACAATTTTTATCATCGGTGTTGATCGGTCTAGGTGACGTGTGAACCACCTGATTCATTGTTCAATGTAATTGTAATACATTGGTTATTGAACAATAAATCAAGAACTTTCCGTCGTCTAAATTAATAGTGTTATTTACAAACGTTGAGAAACATTACATCTTTCCCTTTTTTTTTTCTGATAGGAAAGACAAAAATGGAAAATGGTTGGTCTTGACACCCGTTAATTTCTCTTTCTCTCTCTCTTTCTTATTCTTCATTTCAACCACAAATTCTTCTAATAAAATAATATTACACACAAATCAAAAAGAATTCATCACTTTTCCAACACACATTCTCACATCAATCACTTTTCTAAAATTTCTATTATCCTTAAAATTAGATTCAAACACAAGCTTAGTCTATTTAAGAATGCGTCAAATTTCAACTTAAGACGACGGTAAGTGCTGGAGAATAATAAAGATTGAAAACAAGATAATAAGTGGATTAGCTATTGTTTGGCGTTGATTTAGGCCTATAGTCCAATTTGGCGGCTTTAAATTAGCTCGTGTTTGAATCTAATTTTGAGAAGAATAGAAATTTTGGAATAGTGATTGATATGAGAATGTGTGGTGGAAAAATGATGAAAATTTTTGATTTGTGTGTAATATTATTTTATTTGGAGAATGTGTGGTTGAAAAAAAATTCATTCCTTCAAAATTCATTTTCAATCACATTTTTCAATAAATAATATTACACTCAAATTCAAAAATTTTGAGTATTTTTNGCCGTGAGTGGATTTTGGAATAGTGATTGATATGAGAATGTGTGGTGGAAAAATGATGAAAATTTTTGATTTGTGTGTAATATTATTTTATTTGGAGAATGTGTGGTTGAAAAAAAATTCATTCCTTCAAAATTCATTTTCAATCACATTTTTCAATAAATAATATTACACTCAAATTCAAAAATTTTGAGTATTTTTTAACCACATAATTTTCGTCACATCACATCATAAAATACATTTTCTTCCCACGACGTGTATTAAACATCCTCATATTGGTATTTAAATGAAATCAAGCCCTGTTTGACTCTCTCTCTCTCTCTCTCTCTCTCTCTCTCTCATTACTTTTCATTTAATTAGTAATAGTTTCAACCAATATAATCTACTAGAGTACATGATAGCTTTCTAATAAGAAGAAAAATCTAAATGTTTAATTAAGACATTTCAATGGGACAATTAATATTGTGTTGCTATTTGAGTAATAAGTTAAGATTAATACTAAAAATTTCTATATAATATATTATGTCCATATTTGGTGGGGATTGGAATTAGTTTTTAAAAAAATTGATGAAATGTGTGGTTAAAAAATTGTTAATCTTATAAGATATATTGTTAAAATTAATTATTGATTTCGTCTTATATTAGAATTTAGATTTCAATTTTTACCAAACAAATGCTATAATTGTGGTGCATCCCATAGTTCATACCTCTCGCACGACCTTGTGGACCCCACGGAATTTTGGAATACTCAATATTTTTTATTTTTTTTTCAAGATCTAAATTTTATTACCCCTTGTTTGAGTATTGTAGATGACTTTTCCTTAGAAAGCCTAAAATCTATAATCACCGATTAATTTTCAATCCTCCCAGGGTTTGTGAGTTCTATCAAAATTTAACGTCTGCTGCTGCTCAACTCATCGACATTGGCGACCGCCACAAATATCTAGCAATTAGACAAAACTTCGTACTTATTTAAAGTTTCTACGCATTGATAGTGCTACACCGTTCTTGAAAATTTACAAACTTACTTCTTAATCCCACAATATAAATGTTTGACTTCACCACAAGCATATGACAAAAACTATAGTAACATTAGACGGAGATAAGTAATATCAATAGAGTGGTTATATCGTCACCACAATTTTTATTTGATACACTATATTTTAATTGAAGTTAAACTTCTCAATCTTTGCTCATTCTAGCAATTAGTTCCTTAGTTTTTTTTTTTTTTTGTTGAATTCTTATCTTCAACCTTCTTGTGCGTCTCGTTCTTAATGATGATTTATATCTAATTATTTTGTTTTCATATTTTGAAATGAGGGAAAAATATTTTTTTTGGTACTTTTTATTTATTTATTTTTTAAAAATATGATGGTAAAATAAGTTATTTTACATCATTTCAACATGCTTCGGACATAAAATTATTATCAAATACAAAATGTTTTAAGTAATGAAAAGTTCGAGGATAAGAACAATATGAAAAATCTTTAGGAACGTAAACAAAGATTAAAAATCTTAAATAAATTAAAACGTGGTGCAAGAAATAAAAACTGTTGTGGAAATATAATTAGCCATATTAGCCCTGGTTTGGCCCACATTAAAATTATAATTCTTTTTTTCTCTCTTCTTCTCAATCACGCATTTTTCAATAAAATAATATTACACGTAATCTTGAAACCTTTTCTTCTTTTTAACAATATATTTTTCCAGAAAAACACTATTTCAGTCATTAAAATTTCAAATAATATTGGCCAAAGGGTGGCTTAATATTATGAATTAAGCCTGTTGTACGCTCTTTAGCGTACAATAAAGTTTGACACTATTATGTGTCAAAATTTAAGTCATTAGTTGTTTAAAGTGTTCTTAAAATCAATATATAAAAAATTATCATATCACAACAATGTCATACTTGTATATATATATATATATAGAAGATTGTGATATTATTCCATTTTTGGCATTTGTCCTACAACGAACACGGCCAAAAAAAAAAAAAAACAAACGTAGAATTTATAATGGGATCAGGCGTGAGGTAATCTCAGTTGAGCTGGCAGCCACAGTATGAGGGTTCGATTTCAGCCTCTTATAAGGTATGAAATTGAACTCTTTGTGGGTATCAGTATGACAGCTCTTATACCCTGACATGTTGAGATATATCCTACGATTTACCTCCTCCACGCTGTTCTATAACTTTTTGTAGGCTACAGTTTTCATTGTCCTTATAAACAATAATGTATCTATGAACAATATTCACAGTGTAGACCCATATGGAAAGAAATTGTAAAGCTACCAAATCCCCCGAGAGAAGGGCCTTCATGTTTTTCATTTCTTCAAGAGGGAATTTTTACATGCGTCTATCAAGCTCAAATTCTTCATATTTCAAATGGATCATAATTTTCATGTTCTTCTACATCTGCGTGTTGACTCAATCCGATCCGAGAATTTCAGAAGCTCGGCTTCTCTGTGGCCCAAGGGCGACTGCAAATAACGATTACATCCAATTATTTGTTAAAGTAATGCTTCTTTCTCAACAAGTCACTTCTCAGAATTGGGGTAGTCAGGCAGTAAATTCCAGCACAGCTTCGATTTACAGTTTCGCCCATTGTTACAGAGATTTATCGCACGATGATTGTCTCCAGTGCTATGCGGCGAGTCGAACCCGCCTCCCCCGCTGCATCCTCGCCGGCGCCGTGGCTGGCCGTTTATTTCTCGATGGGTGCTTTTTGCGGTACGATAATTACAGTTTTTTTGGAGAAGCAGTAGACCCAAAATGGGATACAGGAGATTGTAACAGTTCAATTGTTGATAATCCAAATGAGAATCAGTTCAGCCGATCGGATTTTAATAAAAGTGTCGAGGATTTGATTGATAATATTACAGCAAGTGCACTGTTGAACGATGGATACGCGGTGGCGGGGTTGAAGGGAGTTTATGGATTGGCGGATTGTTGGAGAACTTTGAGCACAAATAGTTGCAGAGAGTGTTTGNGCACTGTTGAACGATGGTTACGCGGTGGCGGGGTTGAAGGGTGTTTATGGATTGGCGGATTGTTGGAGAACTTTGAGCACAAATAGTTGCAGAGAGTGTTTGACGGCGGCGCGTAGGGAGGTGATAGGGTGTTTGCCTGGCCGGGAAGGCAGAGCATTGAATACTGGTTGTTATTTGAGATATTCTACTCAGAAATTCTACTCTAATCATTCTGATACGACAAATAGTGGTTCTGGTAAGTTTGATTAATCCTAGGTGACTAAAATTTTAGTTCATCAAATTCATGTCGGATTTGCTAAGAATTTGGATTATAATCTGTCAAGTTCTAGTTGCGATCTAAATTATACGATCGTTTTTCGACTTTAATTAGAGCATGTGATCTTGAAAGAGCCAAGTCCTTGACAATGTCCTTATCTTTTTCTTCCTTGTTTTCTCAACATATGATTGCTTGAAGGTCGAATTGCTCATTTTTAAGGTTATTTTTCAGGAATATCAAGGACGGGGAAAGTATTAGCAATTGTTTTATCGACATCGGCCTTCTGTATGCTCTCTGTATTTTGTGGTTATGCAGCCTATCGAAGATGGAAAAAACGAAAACAAGGTATGGTATCTAAAATAATATAGTTTTCATGATTCATACAACTTCAAATGGAAGCGATTCTTATGTTGAACGCGGTTTTTGTGCAGCACGCAAAAATCTTGGCCTAATTTCATATTCTTACGACAAGTCGAATTTGAATTTCAGATACGACACTCTTGAGAAGGCAACAAATTATTTTGATCC